AAGTGGGCCTTAATGTTAATGTTAATAATAATAAGGAGCAGGATCTAAATTATAACGATAAACCACATGACAATTTATAAAATTTCTGTACACACATCAATTAAATTAGCAAGAGAGGGAATATAATTATGACAGAGTGCAAGTCGCTTAACAGTTTCTTTAGTGCCCACATTTGTGATTCTTTTGTTTCACATGATTGCAACCCAGCGTCACTATATGCTTCAACTAAACTCGTAAAGACACATTGAAGTCTCTTGTGATAAACAAGACACTGTTCAAAAACCATGATTTTCGCGTCTCAATTACTTTTATGAAACGAGTTGATTATTAGCAAATATGAAAAGTAGAGGTCTTGTATGTTTGTAGGGTATGGTTTTTAGATGCGGTCAAATAGGGCGAAAATTCATAAAGAATGCAGACGTAAAGTGTGTTGATCTACGAATCATTCTGTTGACACACGTTCTTTTAGCCATCCGCCTTTTTCAGTATGTTCCTGGTTTGTCTAACGTATGATATTATCTACGATTTTATGGTAAAACTTTTTTAACCCGTCAAAAACTAGACTATTTATCGACTAAAAAAATTAAAATCGAAATGGATCCATCTGCAGACGAAGTGAGTGTTGAAGTACGCCGTTATAGGTGAGAATTCTTACTGAGTATTTGTTGAGTTATTATGTACGCTGCCACTGTAAATCGGATAATTTGAAAGCGCATCTGGCATCTGAGGTCTTGAAATGACATTTGTTTATTATGTATGATGTTTATTACAAGATCGAGCGTTAGGATGACGTTGGATATATGTTGTAATCTTTGCATCTTTATTTCGCCGCATGTCTAAAGCGGAGCAGATCCCTCGCAATTCCATTGGTCAAATTTGTATGGCAGCCAATAAAACTACAAATACAGGATCACGTTCTGCTCCGCTTTAGCCTTTCCCCATATTTGGAATGTTTTCTGAATATGTTATATGTGTGTGACAGAATATCATAAGAAATTTCGATTTTGAGGACAGATTTATTAATAAAGTTCGTTTATTATTTATAAAAATTCAGTTCTTGACAGTCGGATTCACTGCAGCAGCCAGAGTTCCGTTTAATTATTGACAGCGTTCAGCTGTACTGCCTTCATTCTCGAACGTGGCAACGGCATTCCCATCACTCGATCTTTTTTTTACAAGTCAACGTCTCGCAATTCGTTAGCAAGTTTGTTATGAGAAACAATAGAATGCCATACACTCCCAACGCTTTGTTGGTGCGTCATCGTATATACAAAATTTGCAAATATTTAATACGGGTAACATTGACTACTCTTGCATTAATATCCTCGCTGTTTCATAGTTCGACAGTTATAGTGTTGATCGTGTGTCTAATTTTACCAAATCGTTTCCGTTCAAAAAGTAATGCTGTAAGGTATTAACAGTACAGGTAGTAGCTGTTGGAGGTAACGCAGTAACAATAGCTGTTGCAGCTGTTGGTGTAAAAGGCATAATCAACGAATGAGATCTTTTAATGGACCAACGAAAACAGCGTCGTCGATATTAATTCCTAATAAAGATATTAGTCTGTTTGCGTTTTAAGATAATAGTTTCAATGTGCGTATTATGAAAAACTGATACTATTACTTGGAAACTCGGTTTGTTACTGGCGGGAGCGTGCTTGTCAATGATAATACCTCTCCCTTCTTATTTAGACATCAAAGATAACCTTGTTACGCGTCTACAATGAAAAACCCATGATACCATATTGTTATCCAAATGTGGTAACATCTTTGGAGCTGTTATATTTTTCGAAATATGCTGCTGTTGCTAACCAGATTCTTTTTCCCACAGTTAATTATATTTCCGGAATGATTGCAGTAACATTTTTTAGCACGGCTAGCAACCTTGCATGTCTTACGTGGGATTTATTTACATAAGTGTGAGAGAACAGTGACAACACAATTGGTTTTCGGCCGATTTTTTACAAAGCATTGGGTTTACGTTGAGCTATATATCAGGCATATAATGCCTGGAAAGCTGTGCACTCTTCAGGGTGCTATTATAAACATTGGTGACGTTGCTTCAGGTATGTAAAAAAACGCGTAATAGTAATGCAAATTCATTTATATTTTACTTTAATAGGTCTCTGGGCTCTTGCAATCTGTGTTCATACACTCATGAACGCTGTTAGTTTTCGCAACTATAATTATCTCAGATTTACCCTTATTTGTATGATTTATCTGGTCTTGTAGCATTATTCTTGCTGCAATAGGACCATTCAAATTTAAATTATAATAGTGCTGGTGGCGCATGGTGTTGGATTTTACCGAAATACCCAACATTCAGAATTGCGTTTCATTACAGCATTATGTTCTGCGTTGCAATACTAATGTTTGTCTTGTATGCGCTAACACACGTATGGTTATATTGGCAACAAAGAAACCTGTCAAACGCAATGAGATGGCAGAATGCAAACTCAAGATTGAAATCTGTTGCAAGTAAATTATTGTGGTATCCTATAATATATATTACACTAATCTTTCCGTTGGCTTTACGTAAGTCTTACAGTTAACTCATTTGACAATTTTAATACCCGCATGCTTGCAAATCGTAATTTTAAAACGACTAACAACATTAATCGGCCTTTGGATAGTAAGTGTGTACTAATATTAGAGTTCTCATTTACTTAAATTTACTCTAGTTTTTCAGTTTAATTTTTGCAGTCTGCGTCTTTACGTCTGCGGGTCTTGTAAATTCCATAATCTACGGTATAACCAGAAATAGTTTTCCAAGTTATCAATTTACGTCTTTCAAAGGCTTGTTTAATATTAAGACCACCAATCCTGTTGACGAAATGTACGCATATGCATTATAATAAATTTGCATCGCGAGCGAATAGCGATAATAAATTAGGCTAGCATTCTTTGTTGCGACAATGTTATAAATAGAATAATGACGAAAATATGCACTGCGAGTCTATATATTGATCGCGGCATTGCGAAATAGAATGCAAGCATCCCGAACTGCCACAAGAATCGTCATGCGCATGCGTTATTATTTTCACTTCTTGCCATGAATTTTGTACTTTGTCAAAAGTCGTTCAAACATGTTATTGCTATTTGCTAATAAAATAGTATGCCATGAATTTGTTTTGTTAAAGTTATCCAAACGTCTAAATTGCCATTTTGCTAATAAAAAATAGTATAGACCATCGCAAAATATTACATTTCGCCATCATCGATTTCACGGTTTTCCTGGATCAAGGCACAACGTCCACACCAGAAATGAGTGCAAGCATCCCTGATGACACTGCCCTGCAAGAAGAATAATTATATACTTTACGTTAAAAAAAAAAAGATAGCTAAACTTGTCATACGTTAATTCCTTTTATCGCACAAATTTCGCCACGCGTCATAGTAAAAGACAACAGGCAAAGCCTGTGCACGAAGCACAGCAGTAACAGCAACAAAATCCGAGTCGTCGTTCATGTCCAGTTTCGTTTGCCCCTATCATGCATAAATTGCATTAGAGAAAAAAGCAAAGCAAAGATTATAAGCAACTCCCGTTAGACATACGTAAATTACGCAAGGCAAGAAGCAGGTTTGAATGCAGAGTTTGGGTACGGAAAAACAATCGAATAGACCAGCTTTCCAAACCCCTTGACTTCTTTTTGCTGCTTTTTGTACGCTCATTTGCGGTGTTTGTTGCGCCATGTTATAAATCGAACATCAAATGAAACTAGTATTATTGCTATCAAGCAGTTTTGCGAGGGACAGTTATGCGACGATGTATTTATTTTTACTAACAGTAGGGATATGTGGTTTTGTTTTATGCACACCCCTTTGTACCAGGTCTTTTAACCCGATTTCAACGCGAATGTTATCAATGGAGACAAAAGAATGTTTGTTCAACTGTATTACTACTAACACTTGGTACTAGCTTGCTTCCTCTAAAGGTCTCAAATTATGGCAAACGGAAAGATTCGGGCCGATTGCTCAACTAACACAAGCACGAAATTAAAGTTTTGTTGCTTGCTCATTACCCCATTTTTGGGAATACGTCTTGAATAACCAATTTAGGCAATTAATTATTCAATGTGACAATATTTCACATAGAATATATATTGACAAAACCAACGCTGAACGACATATACAAAAGTATTTTAAAATTGAGGGAAAAAAAACACACAATTGTCATGCCACTGGACGAGCTTTTCGCCCCGGCAAACAGAATTAGAAGAAAGGGATCGGTACCACGTCCGTAAATATAAAACGCTTTTCTTTATTTAAAACCGTAATTGTCTTAGTTTTTCATGGAATCCACTAGCCGATCAATCAAAGCAGCTTGGTGAGCCGGACTTTGGAGGGCTTGCTTCATCTTCTTTTTGTGGAAGACAGTGTTGAAGAATTTATCCAAGATAATGCCGAGTTTACAGGAGAATACGGCCGGGAGTTTTTTGAAGTCGGCTTCCGTGAGGTTTTTGTTTCAGATTGTTTGAACGGAAACTTGACTATAACGCGAAATTTACTATATCGAGACTTACTATGAAACTTTATTTTATCGAGGGAAACTTTAATAATTTGGTTTTTGGTTCTTGACTATAACGCGAAATTTACTATATCGAGACTTACTATGAAACTTTATTTTATCGAGGGAAACTTTAATAATTTGGTTTTTGGTTCTTGACTATAACGCGAAATTTACTATATCGAGTCTTGACTGTATTGTTAATAATGGTTGGCCAACCAGATTTCAGCATACTAAAAAATTTGGTATTACGCAAAATTTAGGTCTTTTATCCATTTTAAATTTTAACGAAATGCAATTACAGTAATAATGTAGACGAGAAGTAGAACTTTCAAAACAATATAATCTTATTAAATTTTGTTAATATAAACGTCACAAGGTTTTGGATTTAAACTTTTGTCTATTGAGCGTATCTATCTGCTATAGACAACGGTATAGTTTTGCACGTGGAGAGAAATCAAGTGGGATATGACTAATAAATTAATATATGTACAGGTCCTGGCTCCTCACTTGTAATAAAAAAAATAATGCAACTGTCTTTAGCCACTCAACCTTTTTTTAGTCAGTTAGTCTGAGCTCCACGAAATTTTTTCCCAGATATGCTCTTCTATTACAAAGTTAACAGCAAAAAAAGGTTTGGATAAATAATGTTTTTACCAAAGATATACTAAGTTATTGATCAATTTACAATTTTGATTTACTTGCACACCAAAATATTTGTAGCTGTTGTAAATGTTTATTAAAATTAGTATTGAGTCTATAATAATATTTCCCAAATTTTTATTGTAAACTTGTGTTCTAACACTCAATTTAGTGAAGTAATAAGAAGATATAAACGGTTGTATTTTCCTGGAAAATAACATTTTTAGTATATTTAAATTAGTTATTCAAGTTGGTTACGTTATAATAATAAAATCCATGTCAAAATATAAACTAGTTTGTTTATTTTGTGGTAGCCAATTCTCTATTACTGATAAAGCAAACTTTATGTATTAGTAGTATATGAAATTAAACTTGCCTTCAATATTAATTTATTAGAGTCGGAATTATTATTTAATTGTATAAACAACATTAATTAAAAAATTTGCTTGCTGAGTTTGTGGTAAATTTATATTATTGTAATCAATTCTATAATTGTATCTGTTTATAAAATTGCACATTAGTATGTTATTATGAGAAGCATACCATTTACAATTGTTTTATCCTCAATTACACGTTCTCTAAATTAGCTTTACAGATGACAATAACAAAACAGATCTTTAAAAGACCACAACTAAATGATAATACATACACTATCTGCCATACGCAAATTGATAATTAACTGCAACCTGTTCAAGCCTTTGTCTATCCGCGCCTGACACCCTCTAACGCAGGCGCATAAACGTTTGGGTTTGCGTTGCTCCGAAATAAAAGCACGCACTCGCGCAAACTCTAAGAAGGACGTCCCCGACAAAGGCAAAAATCTGGGCATGACATCATTATCTGTACGCATAATAATAATGCTTTACCATCTCGAACCAAGTAAAATATTGCAGATTGAATAGCACATACTTACCTAGACATCCATTAAAGAAAAGTGATATTAATATGAAGGATTATGTCTCTTCAACTGGTTCAGGAGATCATTTGTGCGATCAAAATTCAGGTAATGTTTGCATAGTTTTTAATAATTACTGTGAATTAAATCTTATTGAACGTTATTGGAAAACTCGCACAAATCAATTGTAATTGCGCATAGAGTAAATTACAAAAAACAGTTCCTCATACTCTCGATCCTGTTGTTTATTAACGAATTGCAGATTTACGCAAAAAAAGTGGCGATATATGGATTCTATACAGACATAAAATTACAGGCACATTAGCAGATTATGCTGCTAAGAAGGTATATATCTACAGAACAACCATCTCGACATAATTTGTTATTAACGGATCGTTACTATGCAAAACGATGTGTCCGAATTTATATGTTTTTATTTACAAAGCGATTACTTTTAAACTCAAACTTTTTTGAATAATTAAAAAATTAAACAATAACTCTGTTTTGCATTGTCTGTTTATTTTCTAACAATTGGTTTTCCCCCACATTCTCTTACGGTTTGAATGTTTAAATATTACCCATTGTCCGGTTTTGTTGAAGTTTACGAAGAATTTGTTAATCTTTTTCAAAAAAAAAAAAGCCGTAATATTTATTCCGGTACAATTGTTGAAATTCGGAGCACACGAGAGTTCCAAGACGACGGTAAGTTTAGTTTTTGAATATATTATAAAACAATAAAAATTATCGAGTTATCTGACATCAACGTGCAGTTGGCTTCAAAAAAATTTTTTGATATGAATTTTCTTACTTGATAGGTTGTCCATTATATGAACTGAGTACTAACATCTATTATTCGCAAAGACAATTTTCCGCGGTGCAAGTAGAAATGCCGGATTTTGCGTATTAAAATTATAAATTTATCTACTATTTTGTAAAATATTGATAATTTTGTTGTTCGAGATGTCTAAGCTCGATTGGGTTATTAGGTTAACGAAAAACCAGCGGTAACAATCTTTACATGTCTGGGAAAGCACAGCAGGTATTTAAACAAACTTGATGTGTGAAAAGCTTCAAAAATACTTTATTAAACTGCAAAAATTTCGGTACAAACTTTTATCACCATTTCCCCCGATAATTAATTCACATACATATTTCATAGACTGCACAACATTAATTACTGTCTTGATAAAATTGTTCTATTTCTCAATAACAAACGCTTTAATTCCTCAATACCTGTCGTTCAACTTTATTCCTAATATTTGCTACAAATTTTTTAGGTTGGAAATTTATTTTCTGGTCAGTCGATTACGTTAATCCCGTTTTGGATAATAAAATTTTTTGGTCATTGTTCTGTTGTAATGCTAGTTGTTATCATAGGTGTAGCAGCACGAGTGGCACTGGTGGGTTGAATTAGTAAATTGGCTGTACATAAAATAACCCATTTACTATTGGTAAAGCAAATTAATAAGGACTTCTTTATTTTAAAATTATATTATGCCGTTTTTCGTTACACAGTGCATATAATTAGTCACTCGAGTCGTAATTTGCCAATTGATTATATTTGGCAACGGTGCAAAAAATGCTTTATATATCATTGAAGCGTGTTCCATTACAGATAATAATACGAAGAAAAATTATTAGTTTTGACGTGTCTTTCTTGGGATTTGACGCCATTCCAGTATAAAATTGTTTGTTGTTGTGTCTCTAGCCAATAATTGACAAAAAGATGAGAGAGCAAACAACGGTTTGTCTGAATTTAAAGGCGTTTACCGAAATGAATATAAAGACAAACAAAACATGGCTTTGTATAGGTTCAAAATTTCAGAGGTAATTATTTTGTTACACACTGTATATATTTAAATGCACGGTCCATAAATGCACATCCCTCTATAAATGCACATGTTACCTTATCCCTAAACTCGGGAATTAAACATCACGTTGGTTACCTGGTTGTATCCCCAGCTTTGTGGCTATGCGGTTGTGTGGCGAGTCATCAAGTTTTCATGTAATTTGTACTATGCGTTACATATAATGATACAAAAGACGATGTCATCAGTTTAATGTCAACGAAGAAGTTAATGCTAAAGATGCTGCACATGGTTTAGAAACTGTTCATTTATTTCTGCAGCAACAACAGACACTAAAGAGTTGTTAATGATAGGTGAACATCTTAAGTGAATGAAAAATGCGCGCTCCAGCTTCCTTTCCAAAGGCGTGCATTATAAAAAATATCGCATGATTCAAGCAGTTTTCTTAAAATTATGGACCAAAGCCCGTTGAAACGTTACACGTTATATTTAATTTCTAACAATCAGAGCCAAATGATCTTTCTCTCAGCCAGGGGTTTAGGGAAAGATCTACCTGCTACCGTATTGGGTTCAATGTATACAGTCTTTGTGATTGGGCGTATTCGAATTTAGTATGTTGCGCCCAAGGTAATTAATGATTTATGAGTTTAATCTTGAATGCAATTATACGACATTTACATTTTAAAAATTTCTCCATTATAAGCAAGTAATTAACTATTTAGAAATAATGATTGTAAAAGGGAGAATAAATTTCGGGCCAAGTATAAGTTTTGCTTAACACTGGGTCACGTCGGTCATTGCTTCTCATATGATCTTTGCATGATCATACAAATTAGGTAAGCAAAGGTTCAACAACTAAATAAGGTAAGAAATCATTAAGCACGCATTTAGCATATTCATATTAGTCTGTGAAGAACGGCGTCACCGTCATGCGTATGCAGCTGTGATTCCCGAATTTAATCACTTGTGTGACTGAATTAGTAAGGATACCACAAACGGCTGTTCGCCTGTTACATTCAAGGAGTGTTGCGTTTTGATACGAGGGGTAAATATATTAATACTGTAGACAATCTGCCGATTCCTATTGTAGCAGTTTAATATTAATAGAAAAAGTAAATGCTCTGCGCAAATGATTGGCACAGATCTGAAAACATAATGAAATTCCTATTAACTAAAGTACATTTATAACCGTATCGGATATTGGCTATTACCACGACGCAGCTGCCAAGACCTCACAACTGCGGGTATAAAAGCTTTTGAATGCTTGCTTTGCTTTGACAGAAAAATGAGATTCTTGACTTTGTTTTCGATATTTTTAATCGCCAGTGCGAATATATTTGATGTACAGGCCGGCGTTGGCACAAACCTACCGAGGTAAGCGAGTGGTGGATGAACTTATAAAATAGAGTAGAAATCTTTAGTGGCTAATAAGGATTAGACTAATAAATAACTTTTCTTTTTCAAGCTTATCATTTAAAAGAATACGTCGAGTTAAGGCTACTACCGGTGGTAGCCGAAAGCTCAGGCCAAGAAATCAATCAGGCTTAATAGATTTAAAGGACTTTATTGTAAGTGAATGACTTTTGACGGCTTATCAAAGTTATTGTATTAACGTCACTCGTAATTTCTGCTTTATTATTCGCTAGTATATAACAACTCTTACAATTGGAACACCACCTGGAATATTTCTCTGTCAAATAGATACTGGCTCATCTGATTTATGGGTACCCGACTCTTCGTGTGTCGGACTAGGATGCTCTAACAAGAACGCATTTTCTTCCCAATATTCCATCTCGTATGGGGGTGACGGTGTTCCTTGGAACATTTCTTATGTCGATCAGTCGGCTGCATCAGGAGTGACAGCAACTGATACAGTAATCGTTGGTGGCTTCGTATTAAAAAGCCAACAATTTGCTAGGGCAACAAGCATGAACCAAGGCTTCCAAAGCCAGCCTTCGGATGGAATAATAGGATTAGGCGGACCTCAAGATGCTGCTGTTCCAGGGACAGTAACGCCAGTTCAAAACATGAAAAATCAAGGTTATATAACTACCCGCTCATTCGGTGTATGGTTAGGCAAATCAACCGATGGCGGCTCAGGAGAAATTACTTTCGGCGGGTTCGATCCGGCTCACTTTGTCGGCAATCTAACTTCGATTCCTCTTTTCCGAAGCTTTGACAGTACTGGGATATGGGTGGTCCTAATGAGCAAAGTATCTGTTGGCAGTCAGGACATCACACTTACACAAGCGAACGGCCTTACTGTTTTAGATACTGGAACATCAGTTATTCTTGCCCCGACCATTCTAGCGGGTCAGATTAACACAGCATTAGGTGGTACTTTCTCGTCCCAGGCACAAGCGTATACTATACCATGCAACCAAAGCCCGCCGGACATGACGTTTACTTTCGGAACTGCAGCTTTCACCATCCCAGGCACTGATTTGGTAGTTAAACAAGGAGGAACATGCGTGAGTGCTATTATTCCAGGCGACATTGGCGGCGGTTTGGTAAGTTCAATAGACAGGATTGGAGATTGGGCGTGAATTAACCGTTTAATTGGGCTTATTTAACACTTCATACCTAATTATTTATATTATTTGTTTATTGTATTAGTCATTTCTTCTGGGCGATACTTTCTTAAAGAACAATTATGCCTACTTTGACATGGATGGGTCAACTATCGGACTTGCCCAGGCTAAACGATAATAGAAAAGGAAGGGAAATATTATTTACGGCCGAACAGAACCACTTCACAACACATTGTGTATCATTCATTAATTATCTAGTTT